GTCACTCTGCATCCGGGGCTTAGATCCAGCCTCCCCTTCTTCCTCACTCCTGGATGCAAGAGGTCTGGGACTTCCACTCACTTAGACTTCACCACACGCCAGATGCCACAGGGGTCCTGGGCTCTCCCAGGTGAGCAAATTAAGATGCTGTGGTCTAGCGGTGAGCTTCTCCTCCACAGCTGGGTTAGGCCAGCTCTGCGCAGGTGCTGTGCAGCTACCATCCCCACTGCTGTGGCCTTGACAGCCAGCCTGGCCTGGGGATCCTCAAGTACCCTTGCTGGCTGAGGCTGCACACTAGTAGGGGAATCCTGGGGCCCTCCTCTCTGTCTCAACCCAGCCGAACCAGGGGCCTCTGGGAGTCACGGGTGCTGTAGGCTGGTGATCCCTGGAAAGCTGGGGTAGAGCTCAGGTGAATGTGGTACGCTGCTGACTCCCCAGGGCCCTCCTTCCCTTTGGAGTCCTGTCTTCCTCACTGACCATGCCCCCTTTGCACCTAGAACTGAACACAGGCCCAAGAATCAGAGCTGGGATCAGACATTGTTCCGACACTGCCCAACATGGGCCGTGGGCAAGGCCCCTAACCCTCCTAAGCCTCAGCATCCTTGTTTGTGGAATGTAAAAAGCTAGCTGGCTTGTTGCAAAGTGTTGTTCAGAGGCACAGGGTTGGCACAGAGGCAAAACTCTCATCCTGAAACCTCCCTGGAGCCCTAAGGGGGAGTGGGACACACAGTATGATGTTTGCTGTACCAGGCAGTTTTGAGGAGCAAAGTGGAGGCAAACTGGTGTTGTCTAACAGGAGGAGACTGCAAAGTCCCAGCCTGTGCCATGGGGTCTGGGCTTCGGCCAACCCTCCCGGGTTCTGGGCTCTGGTGTGTGTTAGCACCAGGCACCATGTTAATGCATTTCACTGAGGCAAGACTGAGATCAGGGTGATCATCCCCATTTTACAGATGAGCATACTGAGGCTTGGAAGGCATCATGCATTGACTTGGCGTAGTATTTGTGGAGCACCTGCTGCCTGCTGAGTGGTTCAGATGTAACTGCAAACAAAAACAGATCCGAGCCCCTCCCTCGTGGTGCCTCTGCTCCACAGAGGAAGTCACTTGCCCAAGGTGAAGTCGGAATGTGTGAAAGGCAGGATTCAAACGGAGGTCCGGTGGCCTCCAGGGCTTACGCTTTTCCCATCTCACCCCGGAACTCACTGTGAGGACAGTGCTCTCCTGAGGGGCAGACACTGTCACTGCTGCCTGCTGTGAGGAGTTGGAGGATTCAGGAGCCAGAGTCAGGCTGGGCCCGGCAGAGGAGAGGGGCTGCTGTAGCTGGGGAACCCTCTGGATCCCAGCAGTCCCAGGCAGCCATGCGACTCCTGACCAGGGACGTCCCCCTCCCAGGCCACCTCGGGGCTGTGGAGGCGGGGAGGACAGGGGTAGGGTAGGCTGTGTGCTGGGGTCAGGACAGGCGCCTCCTGGTCCACGTGGGGAATCCCCTGGGATTTTACTGGGCTTGTGGGAGGGGCCTATTGTTTTCCTGCTGCAGCAGGCCTCCAGGGAGGGAAAACTCAAGAGCCAGGCCCCACCTAGGGCTGAGTCAGCCTCTGCGGTCGGAGTGGCTTCTCTGGGGGCACAGCTCTGCTGTCCCTGCCCTCGGCCCTTCCCTCAGACCTCCTCTGCCTCCTGCTCCAGGCGCCCCTGGGCACTGTTCCTGGGCAGTGGCCGTTTTTTGTAACCCAGAGAAACAATCCTGAGGTTTGCAGCCCTCCCGGAAGAGCACCCATGCGGAGTTTGTTCATTGTCACTAGAAACAATGCAAGCAGGCAGGGCCCCTGCGTGGGGTTGCATAAACTAGGGTGGAAAATCTACAGGTAATGCAATACCACCCTCAAGCTGTTAAAATTATAGAAGAAAACATTAATGACTTGAAAAGAGCTCTTCGTAATAGATTTCGTCATAATTTAAGTCACAAAACCTAATATATGCGATCTCGTTCTTGTAAAATATGTATATAGACACACAGAAAAACGTCTGGAAAGGTGTGTGCCAGACATGAATGGTACTTACCTCTGGATAATAGAATTATAAGTGACTTTTTTCTCTGTTTTACATATTTTCAAAATTTCCTTCAGTGAAGAAGAATATCTTCTCTAGTTATGGAGGAAGAAACTTCCCATGGTGTGTACTGGAGAGAGAAAAGGGAGGGTTTCCTTCTAGCCTAGGTCCCTGCCTTGTTCCAGGACTTCAGAGACTGTAGAAGCTGCAGAGAGGCCTGACCCTAGTGGGGTCGAGGCTACTCCCAAAGGAATAGCCAGACATTATGCAGGCCTCATCCTAACTGGCATTGCCCAAAGAGGCTGTGTGACCACTCCACCTGGCCACAGGAGGCCCCTCCATGCTCACTGTAACATGGGGTTCTGTAACCCCATGGTACTGTCCTCAGAGCTCTGTGTACATCTAAGAGTGTCTACCTGCCTGCTTGGGCAGTGTTTGTCTCCTACCAGGAAGGCAAGCTCTGTGGCAGCATCAACCCTGCCTGTCTTCTCGCTGTCACTTCCCTGCAGGAGGAAAGTTTGGTTCGTAAAGAGCTGAGGACTTGCCCAGCAGCCCCAAGCCATGGGTGTTTGTCCTAAGGCTACAATGGGAATCACTTCCGGGCCATCCAGAACCAGGTAGATGGCTGGCTTCTGGGGCCAGAGGGGGATGAGGCTCAGCTACAGAGAGGGCCTGGCCCAGCGCCAGCAATAATTGCAGCTGGCAGGTGTTGTGTGAATGCCAGCTTTGCACTTCACATTTTTATGAGTGAGCAAAGTGAGGGCAGAACAGGTTCACCTTTTGATCCCTTGCCCCTTGGCTTCTAGTCTTCCTGCTGCACTAGCTACCTCTGTACCTCTGCTCAGGACTTGAGTCCTGCTCTTGAACCTGCTCCAAAGTGTTCATCCCCACCAAATCTGCCCCTACCAGGATCTCGGGGACTCCACAGTGCTAAATCTAGGTGTCAATTCTCTGTCCTCATGTAACTTGACCTATCACGGTGGGTTGCTCCTTCTTCCTCCTGGTGGCCTTCCTGTTGTGCTTACTGGGCCCTCTCCGTCTCCTTGCCTGAGCTACTGGATGGGACTCAGTCCTGGGGCTGCTTCTCTGTTGGCATCCACCCCTTGATGATCTCATCCTGCGTCCACGGTTGTAAGGGACTACATGCTCAGCAGCTACCCTTATCCACCTGTCTACACTGGTCTAAAAGGTACCTCTCAGGGGCTGCCGTTGTGGCACAGTGGCTTGAACTGCTATCTGTGATGCAGGCATCCCATATCATCTGCTTCACTTTGCTGCTAATGTGTCTGGAAAAGTAGCAGAAGATGGCCCAGACACTTGGACCCTTGCCATCCACGTGGAAGACCTGGATGGACCCCGACCAATGCCATCATTCAGAGAGTGAACCAGCAGATGGAAGATCACTTTCTCTCTCTGTCTCTCCCTCTCTATCTGTCACTCTGCCTTTCAAATAAATAAAATAGATATTTAAAGATAAAAAAATAAAAGGCACCTCCACTTAATATGTCCAAAACTGAGTTCCTTATCTTCACCCCAAACATGCTTGATCTGGTACCTACAATTCTGAAAATGGCAGTTCCATCCTCCCAGTTACCCGGGCAAAAAACCTGGGGTTCTGCTTGACTGCTTTTGCATTTCTCACCTGCAGTCCACCGGCAAATGCTGTGGGCTCCATTTTTCAAAGCCCATCTGTGCCAACTTCTGACCATATCTCAACACCTCTGTGCTACTGCTCTGCTACTTCCAAGCTACTGTTGGGAGGATTTCTGCATTAGCCCCCTAACTAGTTCTACCTCTCTTATCCTCAACACAGCATTCAGAAAGATCCTGTTAAAATGTGAGTCACACCATGCCACTTCTCTGTGTGTGTGCCTCCTTCTCAGAGCCAAAGCCAAGGTCATGTGAGGGCTTTTTATTCTTTCTTGCCTGTACTCTTTGAGCCTCTAACCCCTCTCATCTCCTCTCCTCTCCCCTGCTCATGCTATTCTAGCCACACTGCCCTCCTCACTGATGTATTTAAAAAAAAAAGGTTTATTTTATTTATTTGAAGTGTGACCTACAGTGAGAGAGAGAGATTGAGAAGTCTTCTATCTGCTGGTTCATTCCCTAAATGGCTGCAGCAGCTGGGCTGGACCAGGCCAAAGCCAAGAGCCAAATCGCCCACATAGGTGGCAGGGGCCAAGTATTTGGGCCATCTTTTGCTGCTTTCCCAGACTTACTAGCAGGGACCTGGCTGGGAAGTGGAACAGCCAGGACTCGAACCAGTACTCATTTGGGATGCTGACATTGAAGGAGGTGGCATAACCCACTGCACCACAGTGCCAGGCCCCTCCTCCTCACTGATCTTCATGCGCCAGGCAGGCTGTCACCTCCAGATCTTTGCACTTGCTGAGACTTCGATCTGGAAAGCCTCTTCCCCATGAATGCGTCTCCGTTATCCTCGTTTGTCCTCACTTCATGACTGACCTCCTCAGGTGTCCTGCCTTCCCTGGACACACCATGAAGAATCTCAGCACCCCTTCCCCAGAGTTGCCTGCCACCCTCTTCTGCTTTATTTTTTCAGTGTAGCATTTAACTCCTCTGACTGCTATGTTTTCAATTTATTGTCCTATTGGTTGTCACTGTCCCTCCATTGGCTGCAGACTCCATGAAGGCAAGAGGTTTTGTTTACTTTGTCTTGCTGCATCCCTGAGCCCCATGGAAGTGCCTGGCACATAGAAGGTGCTCAGTGAATAGCTGATGACTGATGTATTTGTAGAAATGAAGGAGGGGCCTTGAGCGTTACCGGGCTGAGTGAGAGGGAAATCGTCCAAGTGGAGAATGGCCCTGGGTGGACACTGTGGTTTCTGTCTCTGTCTTGCGCCAGCACACAGCCAACTCACAATGCTCAGCTTCCATGCAGGCTTCCACCCTCCATGCGCAGCCTCAATTGTTTACTTTCCTTTTTTCTTCCAGGTGCTAGAGTTCCCAACCGACTGGAGGCAAACAACAGCCACAGGGTAAGAGAACAATGAGATCCTACCTGGTTTGGAACTTTGCAACTTAAAAGCCTTGGAAAGCTTTCAGGGACAACCAGCACGCTAGCAGTCTTGGCAGCTGGGTAAGATGAAGGCCTAGGGGACAGAGTGAGCCATGGACAGTGAGGACAGCTCATCGTCATCATAGATGGCCGAGAGGTCCTTAGACTCTGTCTTAGCCCATTTCCTATTGCTATAAGAGAACACTTAGGCTGATTTGGGAAAGGGAAGAAGTTTCTGCAGGCTCCTGGTTCTGGAGGCTGGGAAGTCCACGATCGGCAGGGTCTTGTGCTGTGCGGTAACATGGTGGAGAGGTGCGAGGGCAGGTGAACATGTGTGGGAAAGAAAGCAGGAGGTGTTGGAAGACGTTAGTCCTCTTAAAGATGGAATCCCCTTCCACAGGCCCTGCAGCCCAACATTGCCACAATGGCTATCAAATGTCAGCCAGAGTTTAGACATTCAAACCACGGCACCCAGTACAGCAGTGTTTCCCTTGGGAGAACTTGACTCGCTCTCTAGCCATTCGGGGTGGGCCCACTGCCTGGCCTCTCTGCTCTGCCTTCCCTGTTCCCTCCATGGCCACCCCTTCCTCACTTCCTCCCTAGGCTTTGTCCAGCCTGTACAAGTCATAGCAGGCATTGGCAGAGTAACATGACTTCTTTTCGGGAAAGGATGGTTTGTTTCTATATTAAGAGGAATACACCAGGATCCTTCCAGCAGAGGAATACTGTGATCTTGTGTTAAATCTAAGTGTTTTTTAATTAATTGATTGATTAAATTTATTTGGGAGACAGAGTGCCCAAATATTTGTTTACTCCTCAAAATGCCAACCACAGCATAGGGCCAGGCCAAAAAGCCAGGAGCCTCGAACTCAGTCTACATCTCCCACTTGGGTGGCAGGGTCCCAACTATTTGAACCGCCTGCTGCCTCCCAGGGTACACATTGAAAAGAAGCTGGTATCAGCAAGAGAGCTGAGATTCAAACCCAGGCACAGTCAGGAGGGTCTCTTGGGCACACATAGCCTGCTGGGAAGTGGAAATGGTAGCCACTGCAAGGCTGCTGGGCCTGGCTCCCTCCCACACCCTGCCAAGTGCCCTGCTGGCCAATAACATCAGTGACATGGGGAGACCCGCTTCCTTATGCATGAGGTGTGTACCCACCCATGCCTGTTTCTGAGGGTTCCTGTGCATGCTCTTCTGCATAAGTGAATTTTCAAGTAAAAAGTCTTTCAAGTCTTTGTTTCCTCCTGGTTTCTTTTTGTTTGCTTTTTCTCCTTTCCTTTTGGAGGCTTTCCTCAAATGCTGGATGCCTTGGCTGCCTGTTGATATTTATGAATGGAGCAGTACAAAGCTGGGCTAAACTCTGTGTACTTGGGGAGAATTTACCAACTGGGAATTCTCTTTTGGGAGGGAGCCAGACTTTTCATTATCAAGCCTCCAAACTTTAGCATCTTTCTCCAGGGCTAGCTCTTTCAGCCTTAACACTGTTGACAGTTTGGGCCAGATCATCGGTTGTCAGGGTCTGTCTTGTGTATTGTAGAGTGGTTAGCAGCATCACTGACCCCTACCCACTGGATGCCAGCAGCAACCTCCTTCCCAGAGCTGTGACAACTGAAAGCATCTGTAAGTATCACCAGAGGTCCTTTGGGTGCAGCTTCCTCGCCGAATAGCACTAGTTGGCCTATGGCTGCACAGCAAACCGCCCCCAGACTCGGCAGCATGAGCAGCCACCCCTTTGTTACAGTACCAGTCAAGGATTCAGAAGGCGCACAGGTCTCCCCTGTTCCACCATGTCTGGGGCTGAGGCTGGGATAACTGGAATAGCTAGGGGGTGACTTGGATGGTGGCTGGGAGTTGGAACAGCTGGGGCTGAGGGATCCACTTCCAAGATAACCCTTCACTTGGCAGGGACAGCTGGAAGGCTGAGGCCAGCTGGGACCACTGACCAGAGAGACTAAGCATGGCCTCTTTAGTACAGGGCCTGGGAGCTGACGCTTAGTATGAATGTTCCGGACAGCAAGATGGAAGCTGTGTGGCCTTTTCTGGCCTTGCCTTGGAAGTCACACTGCATAGCTTCCACTGTAATCATAAACCTGCCCAGTTTCAGAGGAGGCGACACGGACCCACTCTCAGTGGGAGAAGTGTCGCAGAGTTTGCAGTTGTGTTTTAAATGCACCTGCTCCTGCCCAGGGTGATGTATACCTGGGGTCGAGAGGAGGGGGAGGGCAGCCTGTGGAGTTCCATTGTTCCGTCTCAGACCTCACCTTCATCCCCAGTGCTAACCTGCCCTCCCTCTGGTTGGAATCTTCCTTGTCCTGTCTTTTATCTCCTGCTGTGTGGGGTGGGAGTGAGGGTGGAGTTTGGGGAAGGTTTCAGTCAGTTTTTCCAGATCCTTACCCCCAACACACATACCACTCGGTTCCTGTCTCTTATCCCCACCATCCACAGTACCTGAGCTCCTCCAAGCTTCAGGGGAGGGAGATGAAGTGCTTGCTTCCCATGGGTGTCCTTATTCGGCCTCCTGCCCGCATCCCCTGTCCTCTGCTAGCTCCCAGGAGCCTATGTACATCTTAGCGATCCGTGTCTCCTTCACCATCCTCTTGGCCTTTGAGAGTTTATACCATTTGATTTTTTTTTTTAGTCTTTTAAAAAATTTACTTATTTACCTGAAAGGCAGAGTTACAGAGAGAAGGAGGGAAGGAGGGTGAAGGGAGACAGGGAAAAAGAGAGAGGAGAGAGAGAATCTGCTGGTTCATTCTCTAGATGGCTGCAACAGCCAGGGCTGGGCCAGGACAAAGCCAGCAGTGAGCAGTTTCATCTGGGTCTCCCACATAGGTTTTAGGGGCCCATGTGCTTGAGCCATCTTCAGCTGCTTTTAGGAGCATTAGCAGGGAGCTAGATTGGAAGTAGAGCAACCAGGACTGGGGGTGCTGTCATCACAGGTGGTGGCTTAACCCGCTAGCCACAATATAGGCCCCTCCATTTGATATTTTTTTTATTTAAAAGGCAGAGTTAGAGAGAGAGAGAGAGAGAGAGAGACTGACTCTTTGATCCACTGATTCACTCCCCAATTGGCTACAATGGCAGGAGCTGGGCCAATCTGAAGCCAGGAGCCAGGAGCTTCCTCCAGGTCTCCCACATGGGTGCACGGGCCCAAGGACTTGGGCCATTTTCCACTGCTCTTCCGGGCACATTAGCAGGGAGCTGGATTGGAAGTGGGGCAGTGGGGAATGGAACTGGTTCCTATATGGGATGCTGGTCCGCAGGTGGCAGCTTTACCTGCTATGCCACAGCACAGGCCTTTCCATTTGATTTCTTGACTGGCCTATCAGTGGTGCTGAGGGAGAGAGAGATCAGGTCCTGTGAATAACCTGCTGTGTTTAACTGGGAGCCTGGTTGCTTCTCCTGCAGGTGGATGTGTCTCTGCCCTGAGCTTTTACCTGCCCTGCCCATAATAGCTCTGCACAATAGTGCAGTGACCACATTTCCGCTTCCGGGGATCATTCAGACTTGTCTTTATTAACAGAGAGGGTTGCACCTCTGTGGTGGGGGCTTCAATCATTGTGTTGAACTCTTTACACCGTTTTTTGTGGCCAACTCTGTCTGTGGCTGCCTCTTGTCCTTTGTGTTGACAAGGAGGTGCCACAATTCAGCCTTGAACTTGCAGTGCAGTCTTTTTTTTTTTTAAGATGTATTTATTTGAAAATCAGAATTACAGAGAAGGAGAACCAGAGGCAGAGAGAGAGAGAGAGAGAGAGAGAGAGAGAGACACCTTCTCTCCACTAATTCACTCCCCAAATGGCCACAACAGCCAGGGCTGGGACAGGCCAAAGCCACAAGTTTCCTGTGGGTCTCCCATGTGGGTGCAGGGGTCCAAGCAGTTGGGCCATCCTCCCCTGCCCTTCCAGGTGCATTAACAGAGAACTGGATAAGAAGTGGAGCAGCTGGGACTCAAACTGGTGGCCATATGGGATGCAGACACTGCAGGCGAAAGCTTAGCCTTCTGTGCCACAGCACTGGCCCCTGTAGTGTAGTCTTTTAAGAGGAACTAACTTGGGTGACTGCTGGCCACTGTTTGCTGTCTGCCCCTCCCCCGAACCCTGCCAGCATTGGACCTTTGTGCATTGCATCAGCCAGGCTCCTGGGCCTCACGTGTCAGTTGGGTTTGGAGTTGAGGCTGAAGGGTGAGGGAGGATGATGTTGGGGTGCTGTGTCCCTCCCCCCCGATTCCCTCCCTTGCCAGATCTCAGGTCACCAATATCTGTGTCCTTCCACTCCAAACCACAACCATCGCACCTGTCCTCCCCTGCAGCCGTCTCTGAGTTCCCATAGCCACTCTCTTGTCTTCCCCGGTAAGGGGTGGGGGTGGGGTTGTTGATCTCAGCCCCCCCTGCTGCTGGCCCCAAGGTACTTCACCTACCCTTGGGGGTTTCCTTCAGTCCTGATCCCCTCCTGTTAATAGTCTCTTGCTTAAACTCTGCTCTGTTACTGTGGGGTGTGACTCTGTCACCTGCTGGGACTCTGAGTACAGACAGTTTTTCCAATTTGCTTCTAACGCAAGAGTGAATAGTCCAAGAGTGAGGTCCCCAGGGACTGTTCTAGGAGTCCTCAGCTTTGGGTATTCTGGACTTTATACACACACACACACATACACACACACACATATACTTTTTAACAGTAATACAGATAATAGAGGGCACCAGGTTAGTGACTTGAGTGTTTTGAGAGGGGAAGTAAACATGTCAATAAAGGGGGGCCAGGAGAGAAAACTTATGCATAGCACCTTTCTGAGGTCATGTGACAGACAGGAAGCTGCCTGCGGTTTCAGAATTGTGTAAATGCCTTCCTGGAGAACGGACAGCCCTGCCTGTGTGTTTCCAGGTTGGTTTCTCTTGTTGGTGCTTTTGATCTGAGGAGTGGCATGTGCTTGTCCACCCAGTGGGATGAGGACACACTGGGGCCCAGGGAGGCGCAGGCCTGTCCCTGCCCACACATCACCCCTGCAAGTGCTTCCAGGAGCCCATTCCTCCTGTGCCCACCTCTGTATCCAGCCTGCGTGACCCTCTGCGTTCTCTTGCTGCCTAGGACTCCTGCCCTAAGCAGCCCTCACTTTTTTTTTTTAACTTGCAAATGTCTTTGAAGCACACATATCTCTAGGAAAAAAAATAACATCAAGAACTCCTCCTGGCCACCCATTTCCTGAAGCATGAAAAGGAAATGTTTTATAAATGCTTCTTAAAATGACAGGAAGGGGTACTGCCACTCTGGCTGGCAAGGGTTGCCACTGTGGAATCTCACAGGTGAAATGGGGTGGCTCCTGGGGCCTGAGATCCCAGTTAGCAGCAGCATAGGCAGATTTCTCAGGGTCCAGGCCTTCTTCTAGGCCACCGCTTTGGAGCTGTCTTGGACAGGAGGAAAAGGCCCTGGGGGCATTGTCCCCATGTCATAGGGGGAGACTGAAGCCAAGGAGGCAGAGAATAGGGGCTGCAGTGAGGAGGTGTTCTTACACCCCTCCTGCCCCATGCATGCTTCTTTTACCTCTAGGAATGTCTTTGTCAAGCATGGCTACTCTTGAGTGACATAGCGTTATCAGCTGGGCTTGTCCTCTGGCAGCCCACGCCACTCTGTGTCTTTTGGCCATGTGAGCCCAGCCAAGACCCCCAGCGTCCTTTGCCCACAGAAGTGCGGGAGGCCTCAGGCTCCTTCCTGTTTGCTCTTGCTGTACAGACGCAATGCTGCCAGACAAACATGCAAGGGCACGGCCCACAAACCCAGCCTGCTCACTGTCCCCGGTGGGGCCCAGGCCTTGGCACAGCCCTCCCACAGCAGGAGGTTCAGGGTCCGTGTTTCTGGGAGGGCAGATGGCTGGTAGTGGTGGTGGTGGTGTAACACCTCTGTGCTGTGTGTTATCTGGGCCAGGCTGCCTGTAGTTTGACCAGAGCATGCTAGAGGGTGGCCGTTGCTAGGGAGTCTGCCATTAACCACATGGAAGTATGGAGGAAGGAAAAGCATCAGCCCCGCACTTAGAGCTGAGCCCAACATGGTCCTTGGACAGATGTTGTAAGTTCCTAATCTGCTAGCACAGGCTGGGGAGTTTGGGCGTTGTCTAGAATCCAGGGCTGGCTGTTATCCACTAATGTACACAGTCTTGAGCCAGATCCTCACCCTGCCCACTGATGTCCTCAGAGCCTCTGCAGTGCCTTCACCAGGAAGCATAGTTGCCACCTGTCTGTCAAAAGCCCCATAGCAGCTATGCTGAGAGATTGGCTACTCTGGCGCAGGGCAGAGCACGGCCCACCTTATTCCCATTACACGTCGTGGCAAACTGATGCAACCAGCTTTCAGCAGACACCGCCCAGGAGATATTGCAACATCATGCCACGCTGCCCAGGAAGGAGGCCCCAAATCTCACTCCCTAAACAGGAAGTGGCCTTGGTCAGTGCCTTCTGAGATCCTTGGGTGGGTCTGATTTTCCCACGATTTGAAACCAGGTCTTTCACTCTTTTCTGCACATGGTAGTCATCTGGGGTATTAGAAAATACTGATGCCTTGGCCAGCACCACAGCTCACTAGGCTAATCCTCCGCCTGTGGCACCAGCCCGGGTTCTAGTCCTGGTTGGGGC